AAAAAAAAAAAAAAGAAGAAGAATATGGACAAATGTCTTTTAGTTAGCAAAATTTAGCTTAAACGCTTTTCTATGAAAAAAGCTTCTAAACTTTTAGAGTCCGTGTATTAGAAGACTTTGACATCTGACTTAAAATCATCTTGATGTCAAATCCTACTTTCACTTATTCTCAAACCCAGAAATGCTCCATCTTTGAAATCAACAAACTGAAATATTTCAATTTCTGACCATAATTTCCTTCCTTTGTGGTCTCTTAGTACCTCCCAACTATAAACAGGTAACACCACAGATTCCTCCCTAGCACACACTCTACACATCTAGTGAGTCACTGGGTCCCGTACATTGTCTTCTAATGCATTCTATTCTAATATATTTGATTTCCATTACCTTAGAAGTAGCGTGCTAATTGCCTAATCCAATAGATACTTCTGTGTTTTATCCTTTCTACAACAACTTAAAATGTTGGCCACACCCCTTTGAACTTTAAACTCTCTTGCTTTCACTTTTTTTTTTTTTTTTTTAATGGAAACAGGGTCTCACTCTGTCACCCAGGCCAGAATGCAGTGTGATCACAGCTCACTGCAGCCTCAACCTCCAGGGCTCAAGTGATCTTCCTGCCTCAGCCTCCCGAGTAGCTGGGACTACAAGCATGAGCCATTACCCCTGCTATTTTTTGTAAAGACAGTTTCACCATGTTGCCCAGACTGGTCTTGAACTCCTGAGCTCAAGCAAACCACCTGCCTTGGCCTCCCAACGTACTAGGATTACAGGCGTGAGCCACCGCACTCTGCCTGCTTTCACTTTTATGGTACTTCTCTCTCTTAGTTTTCTCCCTTTCTACTTAAATCATGGTTGAGTTTAGGTGTCATTGTTTTGTATACCTACTGAAACCAAATATATCTGTATCACAGCACATTATGATCTCTGGTTTATTTGGGTTTTATTCTGCCACTGTCAACTCCTTGACGATGGAGATGGTATCTTTCAACTGTAATTCCAGCTCTGATATCAGGCACCTGATATGTTATTCATGACTTTATTCAGAAGCTACATAATAAATAAAAATTAAGGGTCAGGTTCGATAACCACACAATTTTACTAAAGTACTGTTAAACTGTCAGGTCACTTGGGGGATACAGACAGATATAGATGAAGTGCTTTCTTTGGTGAGGTTTCATTTCATGAGGAAAAATTCACAAATAACAACCTTCAAAACATACCTAACCACTGTTGCTGAGATATTTCACACCAGTATTTTCTCACAGAAAGAATATCTTTGAGTAGTATGTTGCTATAATCAGCTCCGTAAACAGCACCACTAGATGAATCTTTCACTGTATCCATGATATAATTCAAGAGTTCTTGACATTTTAGCCTAGGTGCTCCTATTTAAAAATAAACAAATAAAGAAAAACATAAATTTAAACAAAAATAAAAGACACTTGGAATGGCAACTATTTAAATAATTCCAACTGGCAAATTACGGCCCCAAGCAAAATTCAGCCAGTTGGCTGTTTTTGCAAATAACATTTCATTGGAACATAGTCACATCCATTCATTTACTTATTGTCTATGACTCCTTTTGTAATTAAGACAGAGATGACTACTACATGGCCTATAAAGTCAAGAACATTTACTATCTGGCCTTTTTACACAGTAAGTTTGCCAATGCCTCTTTTATAGGAATATATAGCAAAAACAATCTTTTTTTTTTGAGATGGAATCTTGGTCTGTCGCAATGGCACAATCTCAGCACACTGCAGTCTCCAACTCCCGGGTTCAAACGATTCTCACACCCCAGCCTCCCAAGTAGCTGAGACTACAGGTGTGCACCACCACACTCAGCTAATTTTTGTATTTTTAGTAGAAATGGGGTTTCACCATGTTGGCCAGGCTGGTCTTGAACTACTGACCTCAAGTGATCTGCCCACCTTGAAAAGCAATCATGCTTAAACAACCAAAACCTTAATAATTCACAATTTCTGGTGTTAGACCAAAAATGATCCCAAGGTTTTTGGCACTCTTTATGAAGAATGAATTTATTAGAATAGCATAAGATTACAAGGAGAATATTTACTTTGGAAAGCAAAATTAGTTCTAAGTCCTATAATAGCATTTATGGCATACAAATACCTCAGGTTGTAATTTTTTTTTTTAAGACACGGTCTCGCTCTATCACCCAGGCTGGTGTGCAGTGGCATGGTCACACCCAACAACAGCAGCCTCAACCTCTCAGGCTCAAGGGATCCTCCCACCTCAGCCTCCTGAGTACCTGGGACTATCAATGTTGTGCCACCATGCCCAGCTAATTTCACAAATTTTTCATAGACACAGAATCTCTCACAATGTTCCCCAGGCTGGTCTTGAACTCCTAAGCTCAAGGGATTCTCCTGTCTTGGCCTCCCAAAGTGCTGAGACCATAGGTATGAGCCACTGTGCCTGACTCCCATTGTCATTTTTAACAGCATATTATTTACTTATTAGAGATTCTGAAAACTCAGCTTTACTAGACACGTATTCTTGAAGGTAACAAAACTACATTTAAAAATAATTCTTATTTTCAGTAAATTATATTTATGTCACAGCAGAAATGCCATTTTTCAATACTGACAATCTTAAAATTGAATATATTTATTGCTATAACTATGAGCAGAGCACAACTCATGTAAATATGAATATATTCTGGATTAGGGTTTTCGTATGATGAAACTAGTTATATTCACAAGTATCAGACTATGGTAAATAAATATACAGTGATATAACTGCAAAACCATCTTCACTTATGGCTCATTTCATAATTTTAGGCACTGTCCAGTTATGAAATGCACAACCATGTGATCCTTCTTTCTAGTACCCTGTGCACCTCTCTTCCAGTCCTTGTAACATTTTTCTAATCTAAAACATCCATTGCATTATTAGATCCTTAAGGAAAGGAATTAATCTCTATATTCTGACATAAAAGCCCAGTGACTGCCCTAATAGCAAATGCTCAATAAAAATTAATTTGTGTTGAATAACTACAGAAATTAATATTACAATAAAATCTTATTTTTCTATGTCCTTTATCCCAATATGTCTCCCTCCCCTACCAAACATGAGAAGTATTTCAAGTAATGTGTTGACATTTTTTCATTGTTTTGCTTGTTTTTGAGACAGAGTCTCGCTCTGGCACCCATGCTGGAGTGCAGTGGCCCCATCACGACTCACTGCAGCCTTGACCTCCTGGACTTAAGGGATCCACCCACTACAGGCAAGCACCACTGCACCCAGCTAATTTTTTAAGTTTTTGTAGAGATGGGGTCTCCCTATGTTGCCCAGGTTGGTCTCAAACTTCTGGGATCAAATCTTTCTTAAGAGTACAACTAAGTTGCCTGCAGAGACTTTTTTTTCTTTTTTTTGGACACAGGATCTCACTCTGTCACCCAGGTTGGAGTGCGGTAGCATGATCTTGGCTCACTGCAACCACTGCCTCCTGGGCTCAAGCGATCTTCTTCCGTAAGCCTCCTAGGAAGCTGGGACTATAGGTGGTCACCACCACACCTGGCTAATTTTTGTGTTTTTGTAGAGACGAGGTCTCACCATGTTACCCAGGATGGTCTCAAAATCCTGTGCTCAAGCAATCTGCTTGCCTCGGCCTCACAAAGTACTAGGAGCAGAGGCATGAGCCACTGTGCCCAGCCTACCTGCAGAGACTTTCAGGAATCTTAGGGAATTTAACATTTTTCACAGCTGAGTTTTACATTATCTAGACTCTATTTAAGCTTTGTACAAAAGCAGACAAATGCTAACATAAAGAAATGAACAAGCTGGGCACAGTGGCTCACGCCGATAATCCCAGCATCCCCTTGGGACAACAAGGTGGGTGGATCACTTGAGGTCAGGAGTTCGAGACAAGCCTGACCAACATGGTGAAACCCCATCTCTACTAAAAATACAAAATTAGCTGGGCATGGTGGGGCATGCCTGTAATCCCAGCTACTTGGGAGGCTGAGGCGGGAGAATCACTTGAGCCCAGGAGGCAGAGGTTGCAGTGATCCGAGATGGTGCCATTGCACTCTAGCCTGAGCAACAAGAGCAAAACTCTGTCGCAAAAAAAAGATAAGAAAATAAATGAACAACAGGCTGGGTGTGGTGGCTCACACCTATAATCCCAGCATTTTGGGAGGCAGAGGCAGGCAGATCACTTGAGGCCAGGAGTTTGAGACCACCTTGGCCAACATGGCAAAACCCTCA